TATATTCTATCTCTGTCTTTTGCACTTGGTAGGGAATAGGGAAATGCTTTTTTAGTGGGTGTAAACGGACTTGATTTAACCCGTCCTGAGAAACGTCATAGCATAAGCGTAGTCGAGGGGTCTAATTCCAGGGCTATAGTAAATTTATGCAAGGATTTTTAAAATCCTAGAAATTTATAAATTAAAAAAATACAAATGGGACGTTTTAAAATGCTGTAATAATTAAAATGGATCAAAGTGCCTGTTATAGCAAACCATAAAAAATATTAGATGTTATGTTTTGTCTTTTTTTATTATTTTCTATATCTTGTTGCCTTTTACGCAGACACGCCAATGGATTTTCGTTCCCGGCACGCTTCATCCCCCTATTACTAGACCAAAAGCTAACGATGAATCACTATCTATAATTTCGACCGTGGAGTATAGTAACGATTACTTTTTCAATTTAGTATCAATATTTTTGATACTCTACAAATATCGATTACTAAGTAACGAATAGATAGTATTTGCACATTCCTATCGCGCATACATGTGGATCCATGCTAAGAATGTAAGAATGTCAGACTAAAGCAGGCACTTTAAATCAACTTTCCTTGTTTGCATTCAAAAATTACAAAAAACCTGCTTTTAATTTCAATTTATAGTGCCAATATCATTGATCACATTTAAAGTAACCGATAAATTGTGACTAAAATGAATCAGTAACTAGACGTTTTGCATTACTTGCTGTTAAAAATTTTGCAAACAATATCTATCAAGCTATAAATTCTGATGTTACTGTAGAAAACGTACCATATTTAGAAAATCGATTAGTTTGTCTTCTCTGCTTAATCTTAATTATAATACCTAGTCATTAATACCAGTAAGTAATGCTGTAAAATAATATATTAAAAACACTGACATAGGTACCAAGTAGAAAAATATATATTAACTTTATTACAAAGATTCATATAATAAAAAAAACTTTACATCATTAGCAGTCTCGAATTCTCAAAAATATTTTTCAATATTTTTAAGGTTTAGAAAGGGATGTAGGAGTCTCTTTCTCCTCGTCCCTGGCAGCATCGGACAATAAATATCTTAAAAATACCATCAAACAGGCATTGGCATTCTACTCAATCTTAAAAGAAAGTCTAATAAATGCATCTGAACTTTTATTTCAAGGGGATTTTTGGTCACATAAAATCCAGGTACTCCTGCTTTCTCTAATATTTCTTGTTGGTCAGCTACCTAAAATATGCTATGGTATAATGAAAAACATTTACATAAATGCAAACAAACCTTTTGATCCAGCTGCAGAACCAAGTTCATGTCAAAAGCTTTTAGTTCTTCTTTCTGCTGTATCATGAATTTCTGTAGTTCTTCTATTTTCTTATCTGTGTCATGTTCATATTGTTTCAGAATTTCTTGTTCCTGTACTGAAAATAAATATTCATATTAGATACTGTGCCTGTTTCCCAAAAAAACTCGATAACTAAAATAAATACAATTTTAATAAACAATACATAAATTATTTATTATCAGCGATTACTTTACTTTCCATATTTTATACATACTCTTCTTTTTATTTATAAATTGAAGCCTTTGTTGATATAGATGTTGTTCAGTAACATGTTGTATTTCTAGTAGACCTCTTACTATTTCAAACACAGTTTCATTCAGTAAACAATTCGCTAGACTAGATAATAATTCATATGGCAGCCTCATTTGATATTTACTAAAAATATATAGGTACATAATATATAAACATATTTATAAACCAAAAACTAAAAATTTTATATCTTACGGAGGTAAATCTCTCGCCATATTTTGCAATTGTTCCAATAAAAAATACAATTTCTCTTGCAGCAGTTGTGCATCTTCCATTTCAGCACGAAATGTGCAGTCACAAGAAAATATGCTTGCAACTTGTGACAAGAATAGTTAGTAGAATAATTAGTTTTCTTTTGTACTAATGTCTAAAAATGCAATCATTAGGCCTTACGGTCAGTGTCTATACGAATAACACTGATTTTATAAACTAGGCTAACAATACAACAGTTAACTCCTCATTTCCCGAATCAAAACACAAGCAAAACGAGAAAACATGAAGACAAATCACATAATAACAAAACATAAACAATAAAAAAAAATAAAAATTTGACATAACCAGAGACATGAAAAGTAAAACGGATTGCTCTAAAACGGCTAAATGATACGTGGAAAGGAGGGTACGGGGAGTGTGTATGTGTGTGTGTCGTTGTCTTCGTTTCTTGATACTGGCGGTCTCTGAAACAGAAAAGGTTAGCGGCCAGGGGTGGGGGATGTCGTTGGGGTGGTCACCCAGGGTCAAAAAGTTGGTGTCTAGGTCTTTAGTGTTTGTCGGTCACGTCGGGTTCATAGTCAACGGCTTGCCTGAGGAGGGCGCCGCGCGCCATTATTCTATGGCTAGAAATTGGCCTCAATGATTTGAGATCGAGGGGGATTATCCCTCTTTATCCTGCCTCATCTCGTGTAGGTCTGGACAGCCTTCGTAGGTGGGCCCCATCCGTCGTCTACCCCGACCGCAATTGCGGCCGGTGTAGGCGCTTTGTGGGACCTCCTTTTGTCCTGGCTGGGCCCCGCCGGCTAGGGCCCTTTCTTCTGGCGCTCTTCTTGCTTCGCCGGCTCGTCTGTGTAAACCCCGGGGGTAGTGTCATGTTTATGTGTGGTATGGTTGGGTAGGGTAGTGCGGCTATGCAGCCTGGGATGCGCTTTGCTAAGGTGGCCCTTAGGCTAGCGCGGGA